AGAGGAGCTGAGTAGGACAAGAAAAGAGCTGGTTGCTGGTATTAAGAGGGCCAAGGGCACATATGCAAAGAGGATCGAGGGTCAATTCATCTCACAAGACCCTCGGAGCATGTGGAGGGGCATTAAGTGCATAACAGATTATAAAGCAAGGAGTGAACAATGCTCCAAAGACCCATCTCTGCCTGATGCCCTCAACAAGTTCTATGCACGCTTTGAAGACCCGAACAGACCACCCAGTACCAGACTCACCTCACCACCGGATAAAGAGCATCTCAGCGTGACCTCAGCAGAAGTAAGGAGTACCTTCAGGAGGATTAATCCGCACAAAGCAACTGGCCCAGACAACATCCCCGGAAAAGTGTTGAAGGAATGTGCTGATAGCTCTGTGAGGTGCTGGCAGACATCTTTAACACCTCACTTACCCTGGAGACAGTTCCCACCTGCCTGAAGACTGCACCATCATCCCAGTCCCATAAAGCTCTACAGTGACTGGTCTGAATGACTATCGGCCAGTGGCCCTCACCCCGATAGTCGCTAAATGCTTTGAAAAACTGGTCATGACTCGCATTAAAACAACCATCAACATCAACGAGGACCCTCATCAGTATGCATACCGTGAGAACCGATCAACAGAGGATGCCATCTCCTCTGTGGTCCACACTGCGCTCAACCACCTGGAGCAGAAAAACTCTTGCGTCCGTATGCTCTTTGTGGACTTCACATCCGCCTTCAACACCATGATCCCCCAAACCCTGATGGACAAACTATCCACACTAGGACTAAGCCCCTTCATTTGCAACTGGGTACTAGACTTTTTAACAAACAGACCACAGTTAGTGAGGATCCACAACTTCTCCTCCTCCACCATAACCCTCAGCACTGGCTCTCCTCAGGGATGTGTGTTGAGCCCCCTCCTGTTTACTCTGCTCACGTATGATTGTGCAGCTAGCCATCCAGGCTGTCACATTGTAAAGTTTGCAGATGATACAGCGGTGGTGGGATGCATCACAAACAATGATGAGTCCAGCTACAGGCAAGAGGTGGAACACCTGGAGAGATGGTGCAAAGAGAATAACCTTCACATCAATGTGAAGAAGACAAAGGAGATGATTGTGGACTTCAGAAGGAACAAAAACATCCACACACCCCTGAACATAAGAGGATCTGCGGTGGAAGTGGTCTTCAGCTACAAGTAATTGGGTGTACACATGAATGACAACCTCAGCTGGAGCAACAACACCACCAGCCTGATCAAGAAAGCTCATCAGAGACTCTACTTCCTCAGACGGCTGAGGCGAGCTGGTCTGGGAAGCTCAGTCCTCACCTCCTTCTACAGGTGTGCAGTGGAGAGCATCCTGTGCTCCAGCATCAACGTGTGGCATGGAGGCTGCACAGCTGCAGAAAGAAAAGCTTTGCAGAGAGTGGTGAAGGCTGCACAGAAATCTGTCGGAATCAGCCTCCCCACCATCACAGACATCTACACCTCCAGATGCAGGAAGAGGGCCACCTGCATCATGAAGGACCCCACTCACCAAGCACACACACTTTTTGCCCAACTCCCCTCAGGAAGGAGGTTAAGGAGCATGGGGATCTCTTCACCTGTCAGTCACCATCCCTTCGTCCATTTGACCTTTTCCTCGTTCTCTCCCTCTACTTACCGGTGTCCACCCCTCAAAATCCATGTCTACCTCATCTACCTGCATTTAAAAAAAAATCAAATTACATGACAACTCTCCCAAGAGATTCTCCAGCCAACAGTGTTGAGGGGGTTCTTCTTCTTTTTCTTTAATTTACTGGCAGACTGCAAGAAACGTTCAGGTGCGTATCGCCACCTACTGAGCATGAGTGTGTAATCTCATAGCATCCATTCCCTAAATTCTGTTTTTAATTTATATAACGTAAATAAATAAACAACAGTTTTCTAACTATACTTAAATTCTCTATGACCTCCTCTCTTCCTAAGATCCCTTTTAAGCTCCATACACTCCCTGCTTTAACTCTTTCTTTCAATTTTTCCCTTTCTTCAGTATATTTAATACACTTCATCAATACATGTTCCACACTTTCGGTTTCACCACATTCCTCACAGTTGCTGTTATTCCTTTTCCCCATTATACACATTGTATCATTTAGAAAGTATGGCCTACCCTCAGTCTCATTATTATCACATCACCTCTTCTACTTCTTTCTCTATAATTCTTTATTGTGATAGAGTTTTGTATTTTGAATAATCGTCCTTTCTTGTTCTCATCGCATTTTTCTGGTCAAATTTCAATTTCTTTCCCTTTAATTATTGTTTTACACTCTCCTTTCCATGGCAGTATATTAACTGTTATTTCACCCCTCAAAGCCTTTTTAGCAAGTTTATCTGCTCTCTCATTTCCTTCCACCCCCTCGTGTCCTGATACCCAACAAAACTGAACATCATACCACCCCTGTGTAACCTGAATAAAGTGTGCTGTGTAGATGTTTTCCTGTTGTTTCCTTTAGACTGAAGGCTTTCTATGACAGCCTTTGAGTCTGTACATGCCAGCTCTCTGTCTGCTCTAACCTCCTCTATCCACTGTAGGCTTAATTTTACTGCTACCATTTCTGCTGTGAAACTGAAAGTTGGTTTGATATTCTTTTGGAAATGAAAATTTCAAACTCTGGTATATAGACCCCCTAATCCCACCCACCCCTTTGTGCTCTTTAAGCCATCTGTGAAAAATTTCAAGTAATTAATATATGACTCTCCAAGGTAATCAGTGGTTTTCACCCCATTTCATTTAAGATCCATCCTCTTTCCATTACAAGAATTTTCTTGTCTACTTTAATTTCTGGGTTTACCCAAGAAGAAACAGCACTAACTGGATTAATTTGGGAGAATTTCTTATTTTCTTGTTGAGTGGGTTTTGCTGCAGGACTGATAAAATCCAACAGGCCAAGACAGAAAAGCAAGTGTGATTGATGTTAATTATTGTCAGCTGTGAGCTCCTGTATGAAAAGGGAAGTCCGACTTCTTTGGTCACTGTGAAGAGGTGTGGAAAAAAGGTAGGGAAGTTGTTTACTGTGTCACAATATTGTCAGCAATTTTAAAAGCTCTTATGAAAGGAAAAAATTGGTTTTTAGATATGAATCTCAAAAGACCTGAATTGTGATATTCTATAGATTTAATCCATAGAACAGGAAATGATCATTCTTATTTGCATTTGAAATATTTAGGTTGTTTATTTGCAAAGTCAGAACAGGAAATGATAATTCTTATTTGCATTTGAAATATTTAGGTTGTTTATTTGCAAAGTCCTACTTTAAATCTGCTACTTTCATGGACAGGCATTGGAGATGTATCGTGTCTTTGCAAGTTGTGCTCTAGCAGCCCTACTGCTGGCTGAAGTTTGGGCGGATCCCAATCATGGCTCTGAACAAAGCCACGAGGGTGAAATTGCCTGGCGCGTTCTCTCTCCTCATAATGCTGAGTTTGCCATTGCCCTTGGACACCATCTGAAATCCAAGGCTGCTGGGGAGAACATGTTCTATTCACCGCTGGGCATCTCCACCGCTCTGTCCATGCTGTCTGCAGGGGCCCGTGGTGATGCACACACCCAGCTGTTTTCAAGCTTGGGCTACAGCACCCTGGACCAGATGCAAGTCAATGAAGCTTACAAGTATGCTCTCCTCATGTTCAACAGCCAGGAGAACGTGCAGTTGGAAGTTGGTAACTCTGTTGTCGTACGCACTGGCTTCAATCCTCTACCGGCTTTTCTGAATGATATTAGACGGTACTTCATGGGTGAGGTCTTCAATGTTGACTTTAAAAATCCTGCTGAAGCAAAAGCACAGATTAACCAACACATTGCCACTAAAACCCATGATAAGATCAAGGATCTGGTCAAGGACTTGGACCCTCAGATGTCTATGATGCTGATCAACTGGGTCTACTTTAGAGGTAAGGATGCACAAGTCTGTGGACAACCACCTGCTCAGACTGCATTTAAACATGTAGTTTTAATCTTTCACTTTTAACAAATGTTTCTATTCTAAAGTTGTAAATTGGGAACACCTTACAATACAAATTGACCAAAGTTTTTTAAATTTTATTTTTAATTAACATTATTTCCACTTTCCTATAGGACAGTGGCTGAACCCTTTTAACAAGAACTTGACGACAAAGGGCGACTTCTACGTGGACAAAAACACCAAAGTTGAGGTTGACATGATGTGGGCAACTCGACGCTTTGATTACTACCATGATTATGACAACCACACAACTGTCCTCCAGCTGCCCTACAGAGGCAACACATCTATGATGATTGTCCTGCCTGATGAGGGAATGATTGATATTGTGGAAAGCATGATCAACAAGGACTCCATCATGGAATGGCAGAACTCTCTTTTTAAAAGGTAAGATATTCTATATTGACCTTGTAGCATAAATGGGAGTGGTATTAATAGTCTTCTGTTCCACAGAAACATAAACCTTTCCATGCCAAAATTTTCCATCTCTGCTGAAGCCTCTCTAGAAGGTATTCTAAAGCAAATGGGAATAACTAATGCTTTTGAAGACACGGCAGACTTCTCTGGCATATCTGAAGAGGTCAAGCTTAAAGTGTCAAAGGTATGACTGACTGAGGACTCCCTTTTGGGCTCAACATTTTGTGGCATCTGCAGTTCAAGTTATTCGCTTTTAATTTGAATATTGCCTGGTTCCTCTGCAGGTCTCCCACAAGGCTGTGCTGAGTGTGGATGAAACTGGCACAGAGGCAGCAGCTGTCACCACCCTTGAAATCATGCCCTTGAGTTTGCCCCAAACCATAAAAGTCAACAGACCCTTCTTTGTCTTCATCATGGAGCGCTCGACAAAGGGCATTCTCTTCATGGGCAGGATCAACAACCCCACACTCCGGTAAAACTACTTGAGTGTACAGCGGTCTCATTTTCACGTTGCTTTTAGATTTTTGCAGCTATGACGGTGGTTTCACTTGGAAACCATTGCCACAGAATGACTTGAGTGAATCAAAAATTGGCTTTTTTTTTTTT